GGGCTTTGGCCTTAGCGGCTTTGGCGCTCTCAAGAGCCGAGGCGAGCTCGGACTCTCGAGTCTTTGAGTCACGCTCCAAACTCTCGTGTTTTTCCATGAGAGCCTGGAGCTCTTGCCGCACCTCCGCCACCCGCGCCTCCTGCTTCTCTCGCTCGGCGCGCTCCGCGGCCGCATTGCTTTCGTCCTTAGACACCGCCTCCTTCAGGGTCGCCACCTTGTTCGTGGCCCCTGCAATTCTCATGTTATTCCTGTCATTTTTTGCAACCACATCTTTTATATACTTCCATAAGGTATTACTTACCTTCCTTGTCCTCGAGCTGCTTTTTGGCAAGGCCGAGCTCGTTCTCGGACCGCTCGAGGCTCTGCTTCAATGCATTGACCTCCGCAGTCAGTGCGGCAGAGGTCAGCAACGCAGCCTGCATTCCCCATATTGACATACTTATGTTAGACTCCTGCGTACATCTTTTTAGATCCTTAGTTCGGCTTTTCTTTCCGAACACCAAACCGAGCATTAGGGGCTACTGTCTGTGCGGTAATATTTTTACATATCTTAAATACATACCTCAAAGCCTGTTAGAAGGTTGGCACAGGCTTCAGTCAGCCCGCTCTTGGCGGACTGAACTTTCTGAATCACCACACTCATAACATTGCGGTGCTCCTCGTCGATGGAGGCGCCGTTAAGCGCCTCCAGCAAATTATCCAATGCCTCTGGTTGGACGGAGGTCACCGGTGTCGCAGTCTCGCCCTTCTTACGAAGGGGCCGCCTGCCCGACTCCGGAACCACTGAAGGTTCCGGTGCGGAGTCCGGCCTAGGGCCGGACTTAGAGCCCTTTGGGGTTTTATCCCCCTTGCGCCTGGAGTCCGGGAGGTCGCCTTGCGGCGCCTCCTGGACCACCTCCTCCTAGCTGGGCCCCTTTTGGGACCCCACCTCGGCGTCATCCTCAGCGTGAGGAGAGGAAGCAGCTGGAAGTGAGGTGCTATTCACGTCCGACAAATCCAGGGAGCCGCTCGTTGAAGCGTCGAGCTCGTCCTTGGGCGGGCTGCAGGGTTATATTCGGCGTTAGGAGATACTGTGCGACAAATGAAACGCCATGAGTTATTCTCTTCTTGGACCCTCCGGCCTCCCCGGTTGGGGCGGCCTTCCTTTTCTTCTCTTCCCTCGCTGGGGGAGAGGCCTCTTTTTCATCCTCCTCGTCTTCGCGGGAGGAGTCCGCCTCGGAGTCATCGGACGATGAGTCCGATAACACCTGGCGCCGGGAACTCTTTCGGGTTCCCGTGGCCTTCTTCTTGGCCTTCTTCTCGGGCACCACATGAGGTGCCGGAACCAGCAGCCCCCGTCAATCGGGCATCCCCTGGGTCTTCTAGCAAGGGAGCCGGACAGTCAACCTGCCCGGACGTCTTTTGCCAGGCCTGTCAAAGGTAAGGGAGTTTAGATCCCGCATAGAGTCAAACTATGGAAAACAAGTGTCCTGTAAAGGGTAAAATAGCTTACCTCGCCGGCTTGACGCTGCGAGCTGAATCCGCAATCTTCGGTAGAGGATGCGGGAGCCTCGACGCCATTGAACAACACCTTCCAGGCATCTTCGTATGTAGTGTCGAAGAGCCTGCTCAAGGTTTGGTGTTGTGCCGGGTCAAACTCCCACAAGCTGAAGGCCCGTTGTTGGCACGGGAGGATCCGGCGGATGAGCATGACCTGGACTATGTTGACGAGCTTGAGCTTCTTGTTCACCAGATTTTTGACGCAGGATTGGAGTCCGGTCAGCTCTTCCGAACTACCCCATGTTAGGCCCGTCTCTTTCCAAGAGGTGAGCCGTGTAGGGAAGCCAGATTGGAATTCGGGGGCCGCTGCCCATTTAGGGTCACGCGGCTCGGTGATGTAGAACCACCCCGATTGCCACCCCTTTATGGTCTCCACGAAGGAGCCCTCGAGCCATAGGACGTTGGCCATCTTGCCCACCATGGCACCTCCGCACTCCGCTTGGCGGCCGCCCACTACCTTCGACTTGACATTGAAGGTCCTCAGCCATAAGCCGAAGTGGGGCTGGATGCAGAGGAAGGCCTCGCACACGACGATGAACACCGAGATATTGAGGACGAAATTCGGGGCCAGATCGTGGAAATCCAAGCCGTAGTAGAACATGAGCCCCCGGACAAATGGGTGAAGTGGAAAACCTAGTCCGCGGAGGAAGTGGGTGAGGAACACCACCCTCTCATGGGGCCCGGGGTGGGGATGAGCTGCCCCTTGTCGAGGAGCCGATGCGCGATGTCACTGGACAAGTATCCGGCCTTCCGCAGCCTCTTGATGTGCCCCTCCGTGACAGAGGAGGCCATCCACTTGCCTCCCGCTCCGGACATGGCTGGAGAAGGTTGAGGTGAGATGTGCAGACTTGGGCGCTGGAGCTCGAGTGCGCGGAAATGGATAAGCAAAGGAGGAAGAAGGCGTAGGTAAAAAGGTGGATCCTTATCCCCTTATATGGACGGACGAAGCTATGCGTCTCCACCAGCCTGGTAAAACTCGCTTATCTCCCAAGCGCCGTAATCAATGGCGCGGTTGGGTTACCCACGCCCGTATTGATGAGAATCCCGGAATAAGGGGACACGATCTCTGCTTTGACAAGACGTGCCAAGGAAACCGCCTCGCTAAACGCGCTGAGGTGGAACAGTAAAAATGATCCGAATAAAGGCTTGGCCGTGGTGTGATGTCACGCCACGGAGTACGTCAGCAGATTGAATTTGTGTAAATATTATTCTCTCTACAGTGGTATGTGAAACTTATCTTGCAGAGCCGGACACTATCCTTGTGTTCAAAATCTTCTATGAAGTATTCGGAGGAGGAACCCGCCTTGCAATGCCGAAGACAATATGCGCGCCGGACTCGTCGTCATTGAAGCCTGGTTCAGGGGCTACTGAGGGAGTCCTGGATTAGGAGGTGTCCGGATAGCCGGACTATAGCCTTTGGCCGGACTCCTGGACTATGAAGATACAAGATTGAAGACTTTGTCCCGTGTCCGGATGGGACTTTCCTTGGCGTGGAAGGCAAGCTTGGCGATACGGATATGTAGATCTCCTACCATTGTAACCGGCTCTGTGTAACCCTAACCCTCTTCGGTGCCTATATAAACCGGAGGGTTTTTAGTCCGTAGGACGAACAACAGTCATACCATAGGCTAGTTTCTAGGGTTTAGCATCTCTGATCTCGTGGTAGATCTACTCTTGTACTACCCATATCATCAATATCAATCAAGCAGGAGTAGGGTTTTACCTCCATCGAGAGGGCCCGAACCTGGGTAAAAACATCGTGTCCCTTGTCTCCTGTTACCATCCGCCTAGACGCACAGTTCAGGACCCCCTACCCGAGATCCGCCAGTTTTGACATCGACACCGCCCGCACGACCATGGCCACCGGGCGGCACCAAGCCGCGGGCTCTGCCCAAAAGCACCACGCTACCACCACCGGGGCCGCCGCCCCGGCAACCAAGACCTAGGCACCACCTAACCCAAGACCCGCCGCTACACCAACCGAAGAGACGAGTGGAAAGGCCCCGCCTTTCGCACCCCTGAACAACCCCCAGCGCCGAGACCCAATAGGCCGGCCAGAACTGGCCTCCATCGCCCGTCCTGCAACCCCGAGCGCGAGATGAGCTCTATCCTGATGCCGGGCGCGAGACGAGCACCGTCCAGCTGCCGGGCGCGAGACGGGCTCCGTCCTGCTGCCGGGAGAGGGCCAGCTGTTAGACCGAAGTAACGCCCCGACGGCGAGTAGATGGAGCGACGGTCGAAGCGGTCCGACCGCAAACGAGCCGACGCCGGAGAAAGCCGGCCGTCGCTGCGGGCAGATCCGCCAAACCACCGTGTAACCGTCGCGCCCTCGGGAGACCACCACATGAGCCGGACCTCCACGCGCCGCCGCCCACGGCCGGAGCCACGGCTACACCAGGCCGCAGCCCCACCCGCGCCGTCCACCCGGATCCCACCGTCAGATCCAAGTCGGACGCGCCGCCACCCACCCTGCGGCCGCGCAGCAGCCACCCCAGCCACCCATGGAGGCAAGAGGGAGACCTCCAGGAGAGGGAGGAGAAGCCACCTGCGGCCACCGAGCCATCCGCCGCCACCGTCGCCCGAATCGGGCCTGGACCGGACCA